TCAGATTTATTCTCGTTTGACGAGAATGAATCTGATGATCATATCCGTAGCAATCACAGCCTACGATCTTGATGTGTTAAGTCCTGTTAGCAAGGGAGGGCATGAAGTATATCACGGAAATTTTGGGGTAAAACAGGCTTAAATAAGAAGAATAGCAAAGAGACATGTGTAAAACTAGCACAAAAAACGCTAAAAATCAGCTAATGAAACTCTACGGACATGGCGCACCGGCGCGCCAGTTTGAAAAACTCTACGGGAATCCAACCCATCTTTCTGCAAAATCTATGGGATTTCACACCTTCCAAACCCCCCAAAACGTCCTGACCCATAGCCCAACCTAACCTAACAATTTACGATGCTGTGACAAGGCATGCCCTTCGGGCACTGCCCAAGGGAAGGGGTACTTGATGGCCTCAGAAGTCAAACTGCGAGTTATTATTATTTTTTTCTTCTTAATTTCCACTGTACAGTCTTAAGAACAACCTAGAATCGACGTAACACCAAAAACATAACATTTCTCACCGGTCTCCTGTCACCGACTGCCCGGGAAATGTTCTGTCAAACCTGGCGGCAGAAACGTGAAAATGCGCTTGCCCAGGTTCTTCAGACCGATTTCCTTAAATCACTGTCTAATAAATCTTGAAACATGAAAATGAGGTATAATAACATTATCAAAGGCCTTTGAAAGCATATATTTGGAACAGTAGACACTGATAATTAGCTAAATATTGTTTTGACAACGGCGTAGTAATACATGAACTACTTAACAGAGCGCAAGAATGAGTTGACTGGTCATAATTTTGTTTACATTCATGATGTCAACATAGTCAGCGACTTCGAAAAAGATGGGTCGGTCAATTTCAATGTAATATCCTGCAATATACGGTGTATACGCGTGGTCTTTATATTGTGGGTACCACTCAGTGCAGTGCAGACGGCACATGATGTATTATGGTGCATGCGCAGATAAGTGTATACGGTCTGTCTACACTCGCATGTTAAAGAACTACCAAAAGCAGAGTACCCTTTGGTGTTTTTTTAAACATCTTAATATCAATCATTAATCACACCATATTCCTATACTAGAAACCTAGTTAAAAATGAAGCTGGCCGAAATAAGTGTGCCAGATATTTGTTCTTAATATTTCCGCCAAATGCCAAATGGCCTCCCTGTCAAACTCATGTAATGAGAATCCTCATTACACCATGTGTGACAACATCCTACATTTGCACTTCTCTTTATTTTAAACTTCTACATAATAGAAATGTATGTCACTCTTTTTAGCACTGTTTTGTGACTATACATATTGACTATACACTTGCATAAACAACAACATAATATATCAAACCCCTTTTTCACAGAGTAAGTGATCACCTTTCCCTTTAAATTTCCTCAACATCACATCCCTATCAATGGCCAAAACTACACTAACAAAGAGAAATAAAACCTGTTCATCGCATTCCCTGCTGCCCCTCATATCAACCTACTGAAAATTGGTAATCTATCTGCAAAGTTCTCCAATTTCCAAACTTGTAAACAATTTCCTTTAACTACTTGGTTATGCCGCACCGGGTCGTCCTTTACGATTTACTTAGCTTCATTCCCATCCTATTCTGGTTTTAGCTAAAAAATGTATATGTACCTAGACATAAGATATATATCCATTGAAACAACACAAAAATCGACTTACAAAATGTGTGGATTTTTTTTTCGTATCCTACCACAACGTTTCCGTACGGCAGATCGTGCATTCAAAACAAATCTTAGTTCTGGGTTATGTTGATTATATATTTTTCCCATTTGGAAATATTGACTTAACTGTAAAACATAACGATTTCAATCATATTTTCTTATATATTCTTGTTGAGTTTCATTCTATCAAAAACAAAAAATAAGACCAGATGAATTTAAAGAAAAATCAAAGTATCACGTCTATTCAAGCTTGAACTATTGGAGTCAAACTAATAAAAGAAAATGAGACTCAACATGGTGGTAGGAGTAACTTATACAAATCGGAGTCCCATTTGTTTAATTTTAAGTGCATATTTACTATATATACACAGTTCTAACGTTTCATGCAGTGGTATATCTAATCAAAATTGCTTGAATTCAAGAGCCAGCTGGCATCGAGTTAAGTCGCTTCACCATTTTTTTT